AAATTAACCTGAATGATTCCTATAACACGCCAAGCTTGGTCTTTGAAGACGACAATTTTTTCATCTCCGGGATGGCGAGATCTGAGCTCTTCCCTAACAACTGGAGAACAGGCATTGTGCTCACTGGTCAATTGGTCAGCAGAGATTCCATTGTTCGGCCTATTAAGAACTCCGAGAACAGCCCTTTAACTTCTCCTTGACCGGAAATCCTCTTCCTAGTTCCAATGGAAGGAGCGTTGGAGCAGCGACTTTGATTGATCTATTACACCAATCTATGTATTATAGCTGCAATTTCGGTTCCACTGCCCTCTGCTCACAGCCACCAAAATCCACCAGGCATGGTAGAAAACCTAGCCAGCGTCGTTGGTCTCCCACCTTGTTTCGTTGGAAGCCTCGTGGTCCATGGCAATTGGAGGGGTCAAAACCCTAGCCTGTTTGCTTTCTTGTGTTGAGATAAGAGAAAAAAGCATACGGAGGACATGATCTATTGGCGTACAGAAGAAGCTGGCGGGAGTACTGTTTTTAATTGACTAATTTACTGTTCCAATGTGGCTCCTATCTTTGTATATATAGAGATATCGTGGGATGACCAACGACCTTGCAGTGCTCCGTTCGAGAAAATGACGGTTCTTACTCCCCCTACCCCCCTCTCCCCTCAATTTCACCTCCAAATTTAGTTGACTTTGGAGTCATTTTTTTGACTCCAAAGTCAACAAAATCTAGGGTGCAATTCAAAGGGAGGGGGGTGGGTTAGGGCCGGGACAAGGTGGGGGTTTTACTGGGGGGGGGAGAGTAGCAACCATCAACTTTTTGAACGGATCACCGTAGGGCCCCCGGGTCATCCCAGCACATTCGTCCCAATGTCATGAGAACCAAGCCGATATACGTATGTCCACTACTTTTGTCCATTGTTCTAGAAATCAGCATACGCTTAACGCTCTAGTTGGCAGTCTAAAAACATTTAAGAAGTCATACTTTCCCATACTTCACACTCATTCATGTTTTACTTAGATTTTGTTCTAATTAAATTAGGGAATAATTTTGGACTTTTTCAATAGTTGTATGCCAATCATCTATGTAGATTTCACATGAAAACATTCCAAGTGTGTGTTGGGTGGGAAGAGAGCAGCCTGCTTGGGTAGCCTAGGCATTAGGCACTGATCTTCTGCCCAATGACCTAAAGACTTCTACATCTTTACTATCCTAGCATGATATTACTAGGGGTTGTGTCAAAAATAAAAAAAAATAAAAAAAAAACAAAAAAAGTATGTGCGTATTCCCAATCCAATATCCATACCAGACACAAACATGAGAGAGCGGTTGACAAGCCTGTGATACTGCTTCCTACTTCTGCCAGCTTCAGTTTCCGGAATGCTCAAATGCGGACGCTCAGCTGCATTCACAATCCTTTGGAACAAATTACTGAAATCACCAAGCTTTGAACTTATTGGTATGGGAGCTTCAATGCCCATATCCTGGCTAACCTGTTTGACAAATACATCACAACCTCAGAGATAGCTCATTACATGTAGGTGCTATTAAAAATTATTAAGGGAAGTGAATCTTGTTGTCATGTCAGTATGTCACACAAATAACCTCATAGAAAATAGTACTGACATGACCTCATATGCTTCTACACGATAGCCTAGAATTAATTCCTCAAAATGGTCTCATGAATATATACATTTTTCAACTTTTATCCACGACAATAAATCACCAAAATGGTCATCAAGCATTGTAAAAAAAACGTCTTGGGCAGCTGTCACCTAGGCACTAGCTGGTCCTCTATGTGATTTTGTAACAATCAGCATATTGTTTAGAAGGGCACACAATTTGGCAGACTAGGTGATATGAGTTATTCAGAACAAAAGAGTGTTCCCATGGAAGTTGAGAGTTCGTGAATTTCTGTCAACTTCCAGACCTCCAATTACAAAGACATCTATCACTACAATGCAAGTGTGTTCTAATTCTAATGCAAACTTTGAATTTACATAAAGCAGAAATGGAAATAATCAATTCCATAGCATTTCGTTTGTAATAAATAATGATTATTAAATGTCACGTCTCATTTAGTTACTTGTGTCCAAAGATATCAATGACTAAAACAGTCCTACAATGAATAGCTTACCCTTGTTGAGTCTTGTATTTCAGTCAAATAAGGGTCAAGATCATCTTTAGCTGCCACAATGAGACAAGGGATCTCATAGCCAGTGGCCTCCCCGTTACTAGCAACATCTACAAGCAGTTCAGATGCTCTCCTCCATGAGGACTCACTAGAACTAACAAGCACCAAACAATTAAAAAACTTGTATAACAGCAAATGTAACACATGCCAATCAAGAAAAGAACACAATACTGGAAACACCTACAATTATCAGTATAGACATTTGAAAATTGTAAAAAAGAAAACTGTGAGTAAAATAGTAAATTCCAAAATTATGCAGTGAGAGCAGAGAATGTTTGAAGTGTTGTTTTTATATTAGTTGATTCTAGGTCCTGATTGGTTTGGGTGTAATGATAGGTGGGCCTGGAAGTGCCTTTTTTATTTTGTACGTCCCCTTAAAGGAAATAAAGAGACTAACTTTTTGAAATGATATATACACGCATATACAATGCTGTGTGTGTGTGCGCTGAACAATCAATAAGAATGTGAGGAGAGCA